CTGACCTACCAGGTACTTCCACTATACCTTGAACTATGCTTGAAACTTAGAAAAAGTTAAGGATCAAATGGAAGTAAACACCTGTCAGTGTTTTCAGGCTATGCACTGACTTCATACAGTACATACAGCCTCAAAGTAGATTTGGACATGGGTCAATACCAGCTGACTCTAGGAAGATCAGCAGCACACAGAGGCTTCCAGGAACACGAGGTAAAGCCGGCTACCCAGCAAGTAACAAGATGGGCTGGCAATGGGATCACAGTTCCCAATAATTTTTGGGACTGCATGAGCAGAGAAACGGAAATTCTACCATCCCTTGACGTCTTTGGAAATAGAGGTCCATTATAGAGGTCCATTATAGAGGTCCACTGCCAACACCATTATTCTAAAAATACATCTTTATCTAGGACAGGAACATCTCCAGACAAGGTAATAGTTACTGTTTTTTTCCCCCCACTCAGGGTTCATCCTGCTGACCATTTCCAATCATCTTGACCTATTTGGGGCTATAACTCTTTGCCTCGATGAGGACTTGCCATTCATTAGTCTCGAGTTCTGACAGAACATTCATTTAGGCAGGTAAAAAAATCAGCCGAAACCTGTCCCCACTCACTTTTCTAGACAAACGGCCAGACCCGCAGGCTTGTGCGGGCAGACATAGTCTATCTGAGAGTCGAAGCCTGGCCACGTGGTCCATGTGCCCAGCTGCATTTGGGTCCAAAGGCTTTCGCAACACTAGCAGAGCCTCAAACCCCAGACAGTCCAACAAACCCTGCATGAAATAGGTTAATTGGGAGGTCTGTGAACCAGTCAGCTGACCATGCAGTATCACTCAGACACACACACACATGCACACACTTAGGTATACAGAAGCACAAGCACGTGTGCAAACAAGGCTGTGCACACAACTACCTGTGCTAATCCTCGAACAAACTACAAACCTGCCTAGCTGATGGTTTGAGTACAGCGCCTTCATCTAAGTATGAATCAGCAGATCGCTCTTCTGATAAATACGGGGGTATTCAAAGCCATACTTCTGAGAAAAGGGCTGCCAATTACTTCTCCTTGTTGACCAAGTGACCGATTGGCCCAGGGACACTAAACCTCTTTAATCCAAAGCTAATTCCGGAAAAGAGCAAATCCCGAAGTCTCCCGCAGCAACCTCAATCGCCCGATTGTTAGCGTCTCTTAAAACATTGATAGGATTGGTGCTTTACGACAGGTGACCTGGCAGATCATCAGGTTTTGAGGCCAGGAGTCAGATACACAAATGCTTTCTGGTCCACAGACTATGCAAACACGCACATTTTTAGAAATGATTTTTAATTTGGAGGTAGCGTCCGGAACGATGCAATACAGAGGCCTGCCATCTGATATCTGATACGAGATTTACCTGGCAAACAAGGCTGGAGATGAAAAAACGAAAAAATAAATTAAACATGTTGGTAAACACAGGCAGCTCTTGACTGAACTGATGCATCCCCCCCAAAAAACACACAACCGGCCTAAGAGAGACTGCTTCCATGACAACAAGTCACACCCAAGGTAGACCAAAGCTATCATCGTCTTGGTGATCTGTGCCCAACTCTGGCCCTGACCACACAGCCATCCAGTTGGACCTGAAAAACCGAAAGCCTGCAGAACAACAGGCAACAGGTGGGAAGCGGTTTAGGGCACAGATATGTAGCTTGACATTTGCTGCTTTAAGCCTCAGGAGGGGGCCCACTGGGACGTACTCTACTCAGGTACTTAACGTGAATTTACTCCTGAAGAACGTACTGCACTATAAGTGGATAAAGCTTGGGATGAAAGTATCAGTCACGCCCGAAAATGGGGTTTTGCACCTGGTTAACATGCTGCTCCATTTGATCCGCCTACACATCGTCGTGCCCTCTTCCATTTTAAATCATATCCCATATCCACTTATCCACTTATCCCACGAAGCACGGAGCCCGGGGAAGAGTCAAAGACACGCGACGTTATCACAGGACGCACTACAAACGCACAGCGCGTCAGGGAGCGCAATGGCGCGTAACGTGACTCTGGCATGCGGAGGGGTGTAATCCCTGCTTCTGGAAGAGACACACAACACCTGACACCGGGCACATTTCATCCGACGAAAAAAGATAAATGTCTGAAGGGGTCAGAGTAAAGCCAAAAAAACAACACTGGCGCTCTGTCCGTGGGGTGTGATGGATCAGCTCCTATGGCTTCTTTAGTGACTCAGAGCTGAGTCAATGACACCTAACGAATCTAAATCATCGCCCCACTCTTTTCCTTTAAGATCATGACCTTAAAGGGATCTTATTAGCTCTGGCTAATACTTCATACTTTACAATGTTACCCTGAGTTACTCCTTCAGTTATCTGATCCATAATCCAAGTCCCCCCCCCCCGCAATTTCTGTTGGCTTTTAAATATATTAACACATAACAGAAAAGCCTATGCTGTATTCCTCTTCCAAATGTCCCACATAACAGTTATTTATGACGCTGCGCACACTATAACATGGGAGACCTCGAGCCTGAGTTGATGAACTGTCCTCGCTTTTTACAGCATTCCTGTCTGTCCAGTACAGGATCACAATGCTATTCCATTGCATAGCACACATTATCAAACTATGAATAATTTAAAGAGACCAAGTCTCTTAATTGTATGTTTTTTGGACAACCAAAATGACTGGAGGAAACCCAGAATGTGCAGGCCACATCTATCTGGCACCAATCATATCTACAGTCATAGAACAGAAACAAACAATAGGTTTGGAGTGTACAGGTTACACTACAGCCTATACTGGAATATCCGTAGCTTACTTTTCTTAATTCAACAATTCATGCCCATCCCAAAAAAAAAACCTCCTTCGTGGTCCCAGACGGGCGGGGAGGCGCATGAGTGACACACAGTGGGAGACCCCAAACAGCAACAACCCCATCCAGTAATCCTCCATGGCGTCCTTAATATAATTAACAATGAACTCTACTTCTCATCTTATAAACACAATTTCAAAGGCACTGCTTCTAGCATTCAATGTACTTGACTCAGTTTCTTTGACAGCACCTGTGAGGTCAGTTTCCATCTATATCCGTTAAAATACTTTAAAGTCCATGTTGTAACTGACTTTAGGCTGTCGGGAATATTTTTCAGATGATTTAACTTAAAATAAAGAAAGATGAACAGCGCTTAAGACAGACACGTGACTGCTGCAATTCACCAAGGAGAAAGCCCGCCAACTCCGAGCAATATATCCGAACGGCTATCCCGAGGAGATAAATAGGCTACATTGTGCTGAATTACGCCATTCTGCAAATTGATTACCGAAACCTCTGTAATAATCACAGTGTTCTTAGCGGTATGCTTGTTGGATACCATGGCGTGAGGCCAAATGTCATAGACATTTAGTGGAGACCGGTCTCGGTTCATATACTGCGATCCTCCGATTTTATAGGACGTGATCACCTGCTCTCTATATAAACATCGGCCAAACAAAGATAAAAAGCATGAAGTCGCGCGGGAAGGCAACGGGGATCCCTCGCACAGAGCCACGAGACGTGGCAGCGATGTAACCCGCGTGCCCTCTCTAGCACTGCATCGTCCTTAAGACAATTTGCACAAGTGATAGATGTCTGATTTTTTTCCCCTTTTACTTCCTTCAGCATTGCAGTTGATATTCCAATGCATTGCACTTATGCATAAGCAGCACTACAGGAATTAAACAAATGCATTTTTTAAAGCAAATGCAAAAACATTTTTAAGCTGGAATATAGGAGTTAAAATGAGAGCAGGGGCTCTGTGGGCTGCGCCTGAGCCTCTCGTTAATATGGCATTTTTTAAAGCATTGAGCCCATAAGACACATAATAACACGATACATAATAATAAAGACCAGTAAAAAGACTTAAAAGTAGACACTTCACAGTCAAACACAACGATCATCGAGAAAATATAACTAGGCGGCTTTTCGAGGTTTGCATGCAGTATGCTGGTCTAATTTCCTTTGTGGACTGATTCTACTGGTTATTAATTTGCAACAGGCAGCTGATTTCAGGCACACTCGTCGACAAACCGAAGGAAAAAAATCCAGCCGGCAGGGAAGCCCCGCAACACATTTCCTAAGCATAATCTTCCCGAGTCATATCATGTTAAAAATCTATAGATCTGTAGTAAAAACGCGGGATTTCGTGCGCTACGTTACACACTGTGTAATTATATTGCAGCTTCTGGTTTAATTTGGCGTGAAATTTTTAAATACATCGTCCCGAGCTTTTTAAAGACGCCGCGTGCCACAAGTTACAATGTGTGCAATCAGATATCGACCGTCAGGTTTAAGAGTTATTTGTGTTGTACAGAACTGCGGTCGTCCTGCAAAGCAGCAGCCGAAGTGCGGAACATTAAAGTACAGCCAAAGACACGAATCCCCAGCTTTGTAACGAGATGATCCATACACCCACACACCAGCAACCGATGCGTCAAACATCAGCCGCAGACACATGAAGCAGAACTGAACTGGTCCCCAGTTAATATATTTGCATAGTTTTGCATTACCTAATATATTTACAGCTTTCGCTTTTTCACAAATTGGGAAAACATGGCATGAAAAATAAGTTGAATTATTTATAACCATACTATATATTACTTAATATAAACAGTCCACACCACGTGTAGATATAGAGAAATTGCCTTTAAAAATGCCCCAGTGTTTATCAACACCCCGGCGCCAAATAGAGCCCATGTGCACTAGAGAGATACATTATTTACAAAGCAGCCGCAAAACGATACGTCGCCGCGAGTTAACAAAACGCTGAAATCGTTTTGCAGTGATCTGCGACGGGCTACATTTAAATGTGTCTTTAAAAGCATGCGGCATGTCAGGCTAATATACACCAATACCCATGCAGAAATATGGGGACAGAGAAGGTGGTGCGTGAAGAGGGAGGTCAAGTATGATCGCACCCTAATTTAGTGGCACTTAACGTAGCAATTAATGAGTCAACTGAGGATCTTACCACTTGCTGGTGACAGTTGCGCTCCTGTGACTTGCAAGGCATTTCCCAGAGACTGCAAAAGTAGAACAACTCCAACAATGAGGTCGACTTTCCTCGCAACCGCCATAGCCGAGATGCTCGGCAGATATAGAAAATGTCCCGCTTATTTTGATGTTTTATAAATCTATTATTATTCTTATTATTATTTCCCCAGTGTCAGATCCTGCCGAACTCGTTCGCCTTTTTCTCGTCGCCCGGGCACACTTGGTCAAATTCCTTTGGCAGTCCTTCTTGCAAAACCCAGCCGATTTCACAGAAAAATAATAATAAACGATGAAAGGAATAACAATAGGATGGGGAACTCAAAATACTGAGGTCTTGTCAGTTCCACCCAGGTCGCATTTGGTATCCCAGCCCGGGTTTAAGCGTTCACCCCTATCCGCATTTACAGTTACCAAAAGTAGAGCCAGCGAAGCCCCGGCGACAATCTAGCAGCCCTCCACATATCAGATGTTGTGCAAAGATCTGGTTACCGTGCAATTCCAAAAGCGTATTTATCACGGGCTCACGTCGATATGCATCGGTCTGCACTGTTGCCCCGTGTTTTTGTTCCTTGCAGGAAAAACCCATTAATCTACGCAGCCATGTGCGCTGCGCTTTGTCGGAACCCGACCTCTGCTTAAAAAAATCCCACCCTAAATTCTTGGAGAGAAAAAAAGAGAGGGAGGAAAAATGTTTTAAAAGATAAAGCAGGGCGAGTATCCAGGTCCGACCGCACTGCCCGCCGTTCGTATTTCCAGTCCCGGAGCTCCGGCTCAGGGCTTCGCCAACCGAGCCCAGACTTTCTACCCGGTCGATGCGCTGAAAACCGGAACTCTCGCGACCAATTACAGCACCACCCCTTTACCTTAATTCAGATTCTAATTTAGATAATTTCACCACCTTTCAAAAGTAGATCATTAATGTAACAAAATCGAAACTACTACATAGTTCTCAAATATCTGGTTAAATGTTTAAACATTGGATAATATTGATGAAATTAATTGTTTGAGAAATTAATTAGGAAGCTGGTACAATATAATTTGTCTTTCCACTAATTTAAACGTACTTTTTTCGAAAGGGATACATTTGCTAATAGCTGACACTGCATGCGGGATATGCACCGTTATATTTATAGGGCTGCTTCGCCTTACGGGTAATTTCTGCGGCGACGCGCGAAGGACGCCGCAATCTCAGCGGATGGAAAACGGACCCTCAGCTTTCTGCTATGGTCCGAGTTGCCGGTGAGAAGTGTAGCCCCATCTGGCTGAAGGCGAAACTTCCGATACCTGACGACTTTGTTTTTTCACCCTTAATTTAAAATTTAAGAAACCGACATATTTAATTGAATAAATGTAAAGTGCTTGAAACGACCTAAATTTCTGACAAATGGACACCAATAATGCTGGGAAATGCGTCTGCATCTCATGAATAGTTACGATAATACCGGCAAAACAAAGTTACAAAATTAGAATAATACCCGCGTCATTAAGGAGCATGGGTTCCTTATATTATTATGAAGTACAAAGTTTTAATGGTCTGAAGACAGGCTGGTAAACGTGCGAGGGGCTCTCTTTGTTCTGCAGAAATTTCCAGGCGTGCACATGCTAGCATTGTAGGGATTAATGCCAAAAAAAAGGCAAAACCGGTTTTTCCGTGTTATTTTAATATATTGTTTTGCTTTACAGCTGATTGAACGGCGGCGCGGGCTGTTTTGCTGTCGGGCGGGTGATGGAGTCGCGGCTCTTCACAGACCCAGCAATCCAACGGACACAATTAAGGCGGCCGCCCGTAATCTCTGCCCTTCAGGCGGCTCTGCGGCTGTCTTGCACGGATGGAAGAGCGAGGAGTATTTTGCATTGTCGGCTCTTGGAGAAGCTGTCGGCGTCTCCTCCTCCTGCAGCCCACAGACTAGGAGCGCGAGAAAGCCACAGATATTTATTTGACCGAAATATGTGCATGTACTTTAAGTCAAACAGACCCCGATCTGTCTTAAAGTGGAATCTGCATTAACCATCATTTCTTGCTAAGGTCAGTTGTTAAAGCTTTTTACAATCAGAGGACCCACAAGAGGCGCCCAGTTACAGGATGACTAAGTACTTAAGTATTCCCTGAAGAAAGCTTAGTGTCGCATTTACACATTTGTTTATGTATTTGTATACTTTTTTATGCGGTGTTCTGACTAAATGCAACCCAGGTGCGATGGGATCGAGGATCGCAGCGTTACATGTGCACAGGTTGCCCTCCTCTCGCTTTAAAAACTTGACCAGAAGCGACCGGTTGCGGTCGAGGTAGATAACGATGGAGGAGCACAGTCCCATTAGCGGTTCTCCTGCAATCTGGCGAGCTGCAGGCAGCAGATGTTTATCTCGTGGGGTGGTTTTCTGCAAGAGGCTCTCGCTGCGCGTACGCGGAACAGCACGACGTCCCGGCAGATAATAGCGGGCTAGGAGCGGGCTGAATGTTTTCGAGACGAACATCTGACGACGATGGACGGAAACAGAGGAATGTGCAGGGCTGGCCGGGACGGATCGGGCCGATGAATGGAGCCCTTTCTTCTGCGAAACCCTGCTCCCTTGAACTGCTGCCTAAATACACAGAAGAGTCGCTAGTCATTTGGAGTCGTGCGAATCTCAAGCCCCTCTACCCTCACTTACCTGGTCCTAGCCTCCCACATTACCATTGGGTGGTGGTAAGGGGGGGGGGGGGAGTGTCTGATAAAACCACATCTGCGGGAACACTGTCAGAAATAAAGAGTAACAATCAGTACCTTTGCTTGTCGCTGTACCCTCAAGGGTCTGTCAATTGTACTCTAGCTGTAGGTAAATGTACCTTTTAAGGTACAGAAATGGACTATAAAGATTTTTGTACCACTGGGGTACATTAAAGATGTTTGTACCTTGGGGATGTTCCTCAGGGTCTGTTTCTGTGCCTCTAATTAGACTACAAGGTGCATTTTCCAGAGAGAGGGGTTAGGGGCATGCCATGACTGCACCCACCACCTCAGGGATAAGAACCCAAGTGCAGTCATTTAGCAGGTGATATCTCAGCACCACACTAGTCCAAATGGACCAGTGTGAGTATTTTTTTCCCAGCAACTGAGGTGTCAATCCTGCCACCAACCCCCAAATTTCCCTGAAAGTTGGAGAACCTCCTTGCAGGGCTGGATGTAGATTAACATCATAACCAGGACAAAGCAATTGCAGGTTAAGGGCCTTGCTCAAGGGCCCAATGGAAGAGCATCACTCCTGGCATTCATGAGATTCAAACCAGCGACCTTCTGGTCGCTGGCACAGATCCCTGGCCTCAGAGCCACCACTCTACCTGCTGTGACAAGCAAAAGTACAAATTGGTACTCTTTTTTTTCTGGCAGTGTAAAGTGATCCTGGATCAGATCTTAAGCGGCACCAGGATCATGCTGTTCTGCTTCTCTGGCAGCAGGGAACAGAATGGTTAAGGTCTCTGATTCCAAGGCAGTGGTACAAGCCGAAAATCATGCAGTTAATCTCAGGTGCTATAGTTACTTATTCTGCTGCATAGATTTATAAAATCCTAGGCTGTTTCAGATAAACACGACAGATAAATGTTCCACTGAAACCTCCTTTGAGGGTCATTCAGAGGAACCAGGTCACAGCTGTGGAATTTAGCCTGCAAAATATTAGTTTGAAATACAGTTTCTTTGCTCTTAACCACCAACCCTCCATCATGCAAGAACAAAGTCATGCACAGGTAGGGGATCCAGGCATGATTGGGCTCTCACCTGTGATGGGGGGGGGGGGTCACCTGCATTCATTATATTAGATTCTGAGATGGGGAACTGTTGTTGAAAATCCATAGGTTCACATCACAAACTGCATATCAAAGCCGAAATGTACTGCTACCCAACCCAAGGGGCGATTCTAGGATTTTTTAAGGTGGGCGGCATAAGTGGGGCAGCCAACCTTCTCATTACCCAATGATATGTTTAATCCGGTGAGTGACAGGAGACAAGGTGCTCTGGGGGCCAATCAGTTTTCACCTGGGTCCCTATTGCCTTGCCCCCTCTATGCACCCCTGACCCAGCCATACACCTAATAAGTCCAACATTTTCCACAGTCATCTTGTAACTCATATCCTTTTCTGTTGTTGGGCCCCCTGATGGGAAAGGCAGCAGAGGACCCAGATCACATTTCATGCTGTTTCTGATTTGGACCACCTCAGACCTGAGAGTGTCCCCTCGTTTTCCGTGTCATTTCCCGTGCTTTGCAGGACACTCTGCTCATTGGTCCATTGTCTTCTGACAAGCTGCACCTTAAAGTCTGCCACTGAATCGACGCAGAGTAATCAGGCTCTTCGGGTTGCAAACAACAGCAGCTCTTTTGAAAACATGCGCTGACATGTGCTCCGGCCCACAGAGTAACAGGAAATACTCCATTACCAGCCAAAAGCTGGCTACGCTCTTTCAGCTCTTCCTCACTCTATGTGGAAGAATTTGCCGGAACGTCAGTAGGAACGTCTTTGCCAGCTTCAAGCGAGACAGGAAGCCGTACCCAATGCCTTTTCTGAGAAGCTATTTGCATTATCTCATTGCTTAGTGATCGCCTTTTGTCCTAAGCCACAGAGAAAAATCGACTTTACTCTTTTATAGGGGGTTATTCGCTGTAACAATTGGCGTTTCGGTGCTTTTCTGCTTGTATACCAATGACAGGTTCTGAATGACAATACAGTCAGTTTCAAAACCCACACATTGGTACAACGACTGTTAGCAGAGAGTGTAGAGGCTTCAGCTGGTCTGGACCCCATTTACATACACTGTGGAAAATATTAAGAGACCATCTATTAATTCTCTCTATGTATAATCTCTTATATATATATATATATATCACAATATATATATATATATATATATATATATATATATATATATA